GCATGATGTATTCTGCATATAAGTTAAATAAGCAGGGAGACGATATACAGCCTTGTCATACTCCTTTTCCAATTTTGAACCAATCAGTTTTTCTATATCCAATTGTAATTGTTGCTTCCTGTCCCACATACAGATTTCTCAGGAGATAGATAAGGTGGTCAGGCACTCCCATTTCTTTAAGGACTTGCCATAGTAGTTCAGATTTACCAGGTCTCAACTATGGTATTCCTCTAAGTTGACTGTCTGATATGGGGCTTGTAGATACTGCCTTATGGTGGTTCTGGTCCTGTTCGAAGGGTAAGTTCAGAAAGTGATGCTGGAGACTACTTCTGTGGACACTGACGTGGACTCCTTCCAGGTTCCGTCTCTTCCTCCCCCAGCTATTTAACATGTACGTGAAACTTTTAGAAGTCATTTGAAGTTATCAAAATCAATCCAGGCGGTGCTTCTGGAATGGAAGGATCACCAAATGGAGCTGCCATTACCCAGAGGATGACTTTCTTCGAAGAGGCTTCTTTCACACCCCTTTCAATGTGCTAAAGATATCCAACTCTGTTTTTCCTTTCCATTTAAATCCAAGCACATAGTTCTGCTTCTGAAATGCTCTGTCATGTCATCAATAAACTGTATGGGAATATTCTGAAAAGAATATCATTTAATATTTTAGGCCTTCTTGGTAGAGGGTAACATGCAAATAAAATAAGTTGACTGACTAATTAGTAAAATCATTAATATACATTTGTTTTAGTTTTAAGAAAACAAATTCACCTGTCTTGTTTTAAAATATATGTCCTATCCCTGTCTCCTTTGTAGTCTGCATTTTTCCATCAGTACGGTTGTACAACAAATGATACCAATGCCAAATACAGCAGTCGTGCTGCTCAGCTTTACAGAGAAAAGATTAAAACTCTTGCAACTCAGGTAACACGGAAGCATGGCACCGAGGTTAGTAATCACATGTGGTTTAGTCACTTGTTAACATACGTGGTGACATCAAAATACTAATTTGGAAAGATGAAACATGTTGCATAAATTGCATATAAATGCATTACGTATAAACGTCTAGTATGAATCGTACTGCTACAAACAATTGACAAAAAAGATTACTGTGTGTGGTTGATATGAATTGTTTTTAGCCCTAGTTACCAGCAATGAACATCCCATGTCATAGCAGGGCTGCAACAGCCATCTCAGCCATCATAGTTACACCAAAATTTCTATAATATTTAATGTTAGAATTACAGCCAGGTAAGGCACCTTGTATAGTGCTGCCTGAGTGGCACTATATAAATGAAAATCACGAACACAGAGGAGAGTTAGTATGTTAACATAGAATTTATACATTGATGAATACTTATGTATGAATGAGGTTTTCTTTTGAATTAATAGAAATAATTTTAATATCAGTAGTACCTTATTCTGTTAGTCAGAATTAATTCTAAAAATAGATCTGATTTTTTTAAAGCACCTCTTTTGGAAACACGACAAGATGAAAACATTCTCGTGTTAGTGGCTTATCATAAAAATACCACAACTTTCACAATTTCTGCCAGTCCTTTACAATTACTCTTGTATGTTCTATGTCAGAGATAGTTTCTAGAGGTTGAGAGGCCACATAATCTTATTTAGGTCTTCTACAAATAACTTGTGCCTGGTAATTTTACCTTCTGGGCAAAATCCTCTTAGTTTCTCTGGTGTAACACAAAACAAAATAACTTCTGGAGGCAAATTGCCTCAAGTTAATCACTATAGATCTTATCTCTTTCATGCTGAACTATGTGACACAGCATATTACTGATAATATCTACGGTGATTTCTTATTTTGAGGCAATTTGTTTCCAGAAGTTACAGCATTTGTATAGATACAGAAGATTATTTTAGCCCTAGTTTTACAAATTTTGAATCCCCACTTTAGAACATCATTAAACATGTCCTATACATTCTTTCTCGTCTGTTTACCCTACTTCTATTTTTTTCCACCCTCTCCTGTCTTCCTTGGAATCGGCTTCTCGTTTCTAGGTTTGTTGAGTCAGGACAGGTTCCCTCATGAGTTATAACATGCCCTTTGTATAATATATGAAATAGAGTGGAGCAGTTGCAGTAGTCATAACCATGCTATCTCATCATTGCATTTGATATAATCACTAAAGCCCTATTCAGCCATTCCAAAAGGGTTGATTTGAACTGTGAGCAGAGAGAGACTGAGTCTGCACAGAGAGAGGTACAGTCTGAAGAGGAAAACTTCTGCTGTGCTTGGAGTCCCTACTAAGTAACTGAGGTCTTTCTGTTCTTTATACAGTAGGACCCCCCTATCTGTAGGATCAGCATCCACTGAATAATTTATCCACTGCCTGAAAATACTAAATAAAACCCTCCAGAAATACCTATTCATACTTATTTCCAGAGTGTATTTGTCAGAACTGGGCATTAAATAGAGACAGAGACCATGCAGTGTATAGTGTTCGATACTTCTGTGTTTTTTGGCATTTGCAGGGGTGAGCTTGGAACCTATCCCTGCAGATACTGTGGTCCTTCTCTACTGTCATTGTGGCGATCTTCCCTTGTTGCCCCTATTTATTTGGTCCTCACAAGGGATCACCCCCTTCTTCCTTCACACTGCTACCTGGTATTCTCCTAATACCAATTATATTATACCCGTGTGCTGCCAAAACGAAGGGTTATAGAACTTAGGAATCAGAGGTTTAATTAAGTATTCTTTTATTGTCAAACAAATTATAAAGGTAAATCACATACTGTATTTGCCGGTGTATAAGACGACTGCGGTATTTGCCGGTGTATAAGACAACCCCCCAACATTTCCACTCAAAATACAGAGTTTGTATATTTCTGAAGGGAAATGGTGGGAGTTTAGAAAGATAAGAGAGAGGAGGAGGGCAAGCAGCTCTCGGCGGCGAGCAGTCAGCTGGCTCAGCAGGCCCTGGCCACTCAGCCATGGCCGGCTCTGCTTCCCTCCCTCTCGGCAGCGAGCAGGCAGCTGGCTCAGCGGCGCAGGGCGGCGGGCCCTGGCCACTCAGGCATGGCCGGCTCTGCTTCCCTCCCTCTGTCCAGACCGACCGACCGCCTGCCTGCCTGCCTGCCCACCTGTCTTCCTCCCTGACTGGCGCGGCCCCGCGTCACGGCGACGGCTCCTTCTGAAGTGCACCCGGCGTATAAGTCCCTCCCCCCCCCACTTGGAGGCATGTTTTTCAGGGCAAAAAAGTCATCTTATACGCCGGCAAATACAGTAAGATCATTTAAGAACTGTATCAGGTTTTAACATGGATTGGATTATGTATGCAATCACTTTTATTCCAGCTACTATGTACTTTCAATCAATATCTCTCTGGTAGTACTAGTAACTTCATTCTTGCTTGTTCAATATCTTTCATCTCAATTCCCTCTCCTAACACTCTCAGCTCAAATCCCTAACCCTCTCCTTCTCTCTTCTAAACCCCAACTGCCATTCCACATCTCCAACTGTCTCTCTAACTGTCCAACTGTCTCCCTAACTCCGCCCCTCTTGCCCTATCATTGGCTCCTCCCCCTTGAGCTTCTGTAATGGACAGGCAGGAATGACTTCACCTTTTGGCGTTTCACTACAGTCGTTCTCATGGGGACAGCAACAGCCAGGGTGCAAGGCTAGAATTCTCCTCCTGCTTACCTCTTTTTGAACTTCTTAAGAAGACGACCACTAGGGAAGGAGCCAGCTGACTGTTGTCAAGTTCTTTAGCAAGTGAATTGAACAGATGAATCCCTCTGCTATAATGTGATCAGTCAGCCTGCTAAATATGGTAGTTCATCAGTTTTCCCACCTTAGTTCAATGAGTTGGTTGGCTTATTTTAAAGTTCACATCAAATAGGGATCCATAGTGAAAAGTTGGAGTGATTTCCTCTGCTGGGAATGCTCCAGCTAGTCTAAAACAGGAAAGGTTTAGCACTACATGGGATATCCACCCCCTTGTTGTTGTCTCCTGCTCTGCCACATAATGCTAAATGTGTTAAGATTTGGGGCAGGTTGTCAGGCACTGGCATGAGTGAATAGCTTTGTTTGTTGGTCCTAAACATTCCCAAAGCTATCTTTTGATTTTAATTTGTTTAAATTAAAATCTTACAATTTGCAAGCGTATTCTTTTGCATATCTAAGGAATCTTAAGTACTGTATTTTTCGCTCCATAAGACGCACCTTTCCATAAGACGCACCAATTTTTTAGGAGAAGAAAACAGGAAAATATAATCTGTTTTCTTCGCTCCATAAGACACACAGACTTTCC